CGAACACTCGAATTCAAATTTCTATATGAAACTTCACCGAATGACGCGCATATTGTACAAGCTCAATCCTACCTTTTAAATCAGGCAGGCAATAAGGACGAATCTTCTTTTTCGAATGGAAGTTGATTACCGTTCGACCCTAATTATTTATTATAAATAACAAATCGATTTAGTATTTCTACTAAGTAAACGAAAGAGGGAGAACACGAACACTCGAATTCAAATTTCTATATGAAACTTCACCGAATGACGCGCATATTGTACAAGCTCAATCCTACCTTTTCAATCAGGCAATCAGGACGAGTCTTGTCGTGAAATGAAAAATATAAGAGTAAGAAATATGTTTGAATAGGTGTAGGGGTGGTAGATTATGTGCATAGAAGAAAGATAAAATACATCATTTCTTCACTTACTTATTGACATCGTTGACCACACTGCCTATGACATAATTTTTCTCTTGATCCAGTCCGGTAATCGGCCCTGGATTCAAGCATAGTTCACCATCTTTCGGGTATGCTCTTACTCAAATCCGTCGATACAAGTGGTGTGTATAATTCGGCAGGGACGACGACGTGCTTACTTGGGATTCCTCGCCATGATGAAGTTTCACGACCGTACGTCCCAGAACATCTAAGGGAACCACCATGTATTCGCCACTAAAGAGTCGATCACTATAATGGCGGTGTGTTGCGTTAACCACTCATTACCAGCCCCATTTAAGCTACCTAGAATAATCAGCGTAGCCAGTGCTGTCTTTTTATGATAAAATGACTCAGTTTTGGATACCGTGATAATCCGTCCTTTTCGACACAGTGGCTCAACCATAATCAAAGATATGATAACTTTCTGCCTAACCTCACTTGACCTAAAGTTTTTTTTTTTTTTGTCATCGCCAACGTATTGACCTAAGAGGGGTTTTTAAAACTTTATATCAAATCAACCTTTGATGGTAAATCATCCACTCGTGCTATGGTAGGGACACTGGGAATCTCGAGTCTCGAGTCATAGTTACTACAGCCATTTAACCACCTGACTGTTTAAAATTCAGTTGTTTAGCCTCTCTCAACCACCCGTGCTATGGTAAGATAGGAACACTAGGAATCTCATGAATCATAGTTACTACAGACCACCCAGCTTGTTTGCTGTCTAACATGTCGTATACTATACGTACACCCACAAGCTTAAAATATTTTATGCTAGACTTGGTTGGCATGTATTAATAGAGAGATAGAAAAAAAACTTCAATTTTTTTTTGTTTTTTTTTTTATTTTTCTCTCAACCACTCGTGCTATAGCCGTTTACCCATCCGGCTTGTTTGAATTTCTTCACTTTCATTATCCACACCCACAGCTCAAAATATATTATAGAGGAATAAAAAAACCAAATTTTTAATTTTGTTTTTTTCTTCCCTCTACAATATTGGTAAACGAAAAAATTCATAAATTGGCTTTATTTTCAACTACAATAATCTTGACTCTACATATTAACGTCTATTCGGAAAAGTTTTGCCGGGTGTCATCGGACAAAATCAATGCCGATCCATAATTAGTTTTGATTACGTCACCGTCAAAATTTCCAAGAATTTTGAGAATCAGAATTTCTCTTCTGATAAAATTCTACCAAAAAATTTCCCCTTGATATTATATTCTTTTTAATAAGCAGGATGCCGTTTCTTCCGTTTGCTGAAGTTTTCCGAGAAGAAACCGCTTAATACTTTATTTTCTTTATATTGTCGTGAATTAATGTAATTTTTTTGCTGTGAATTTTTCGAAATATACTCTTAAAACGGTATATAATACTTGAAAATCGATTATTTTTATTAATTTTTTTTCCTTCCTTAAAATTTTGTGTAAAGCGACACTTTTAATTCATAAATAATACTCTCAACCAAATTTTTTGAAGAAAAAATCTAATACTCAGGTGAACAGTAAAATTAACAATGACCTCTCACCCAACGCGTAAATAACTAATCTTCTCGTATACTAAATTATTTTTATTTCGTTCAAAAAGTGCTCGTTCCCTGATAAAACCTTTTGTTTGGTTTTGTTGACAATTTAGCAGAAGGATCTAAACGAGCGTTGATTGAACTGGAGTACATATCATATAGACTTCAAACGAGGATAGTCTAATCGATCGATCTTTAGTATGTAGGCGAATTTTTTTTTATTTTTAAATCTTCAAGCTTTTTATAAAATAACTACTTCAAAAGGATCTAATATTAATCACTTGTCATTTATAGATAATTTTTTTTCAATTTTTTGACGTCGCCAAAAGGATTGATGTGAGGATGAAAAAAAATAATAGTTGAGAAGATATCTTTCAAATAGAAATCAGCAATATGAATGATAATTTTATTACCAAAAAAATGAAAATGATGATATTATAGATGAAATGTAGAAATCTTTCAAGTACGACCAATGCAATAAATGAGATGGTCTTACCTACAAAGAAATGATATTACTTAAGTAAGTTTTTTCTTTTATTGATCTTAAAATTATAAACGATTTGCGATTGGCAAAATTTTCAGGTTATTCATACTATTATTTTCCTAACGACTTCAGAAGATAGAGAACAAGATGCAGAAGAGAACCTCGTATTCACGTGGTTACGTGATTTGGTCCATGGAAACTAAAAAAAAATTCATCCATCTAGTATCCCAAAATTCTGGTGTAATATGAACATCTCAGTCATTGTCAAGAAGGGCACACCAAATTCAAATCATAGTAAAACTAATGTGCGACCCAATCGAAAGATTATACTCTTCAAAACGCGTCCAAACTCTCAATACGTCAACTTCTATCCTGGTTCATCAGATTAACCAAGTCAAGAAACTGAATTCTATGAACATGTCGTTAAACAGGAATCTGAAAGACGCGATCAGGAAGGTGCTAAAAGACAACCCGAGAAAAAAATGAACGCGACGTTGCTCAACATATCAAAAAAAATAAAATGCAGAGAAAAAGAAAATGAAGCTGATGAATTATAGCGAAAAGAAGTTGCTATTGATAAAGCTTAATCAGAAATCGATCGTAAAGCCTGTGAAGAGACAGACAGAAGTAAACTTCAGCTGAATTGGATAAGTGTAAAGGTAATTAAATCAAAGGATTCTCTATTATATTTTCATTGCATTAACGAATATTATATTAGGTGTAAGCAATAACTAGCAAACCACATGGTTTTTAGTTTCAGATATATGGTCAGGTTTAGAACGCTGTTTTAGAAGTGTTGATTCTTTGACGAAACTGATAATCTTCATTTTTCTAAACTTGAACTTGACGATTAAGAAACTAGAGTAATAGCGTAACAGATGTACTGATCTGTTAAATTTCTTTAAAGACGGAAACGAGGTTTGTCGATAACGTTCTTTACTAGCATATAAATTCTCTTGATATTACAAAATATACACAAAAATTTGTCTTTTACGGCTCATTTGAAATTTTAATTAATTAATTATTCCAAAAATAGACAACTGAAGAAAATACTAATTGTCGATAGTTGAAAGACTAAAACTCCTAAATCCCACCCTCGTTCCAAATCAATATCGGAGTCCAATTTATTGTTAAAGGACATACAATTACGTTGTCATATGTAATTGATACTTATATTGTAATATGCAGAGAATTTTCAAGAAATTGTGCTGTCTAAAGTAGGGGTGGAATAGATTCAAGCATGTAGTTTCGATTTTAGAATCAATTAATCGCAATTATTCATTTCTCGAGTTTCTATTCTATGATTTTATTTATGGCGTAGTGATTTTTTTAATCACAAATTGTGCGCAAAAAAAAAAAAATAAATAAAAAAAAAAATAAAAGAAATTAATTATTATTTATCAAAATTTCATAAATTTTACATTTTATGATAATTGGATATCATATATACTTAAAAGCAGGTAATTCATTCTAATATGTTACATTGGTTCATCTTTTATGGTGGTGTATCAATTTTAGCATTTTTTTTTTTTTTCAAAAACCTATCTGTAATTTTTTTTTTTTTTTTTTTTCAAAAACCTCTGTAATTTTTTTTTTACTATTTTTTTTTTTTTTGAATACGCAGAGATCGAATGAAAATTTTTTTATTTTAAAAATTATTCATTATTAATAATTAAATTCCTTTTTGGGTTGGATTGTTCAGATGTATGCGGTTCGTTAGAATTATTTCACTTTTAGGTTCGGCAGCGATCATTTTATTTTTCCGCTTTTGGTTTATCATTCTTTTTTTTCTCAAGGTTTCTCTTTCGAGTTGGATCTCTTCAGAAGGATTAAGTAAGCTTTTTTTTGATCATTCGGTTGTTAATTTTTTTGATCTTTTTATTTTATAATTTTGTAGGCTAGACTTTTTTTGTTCATTTTTTTTTTTGATCATACCCGTTATTATTTTTCTCAAATCTAATTAATATAACAATATCTTAAAGCATTGCTTTGGCGTGAATCGTTCAAACTACACACATTGCTCCACTAAAATAGATTCAAATTTTTCTATCCATCGATTCTAATTCAATTTTCAATTAATTTGATTGATTCCAATCCCTAGTCTAAAGTACTAATTGTAGGAGTCTTATAAGAGAAGGATGCAGTTTATACATATCAAAATCTGACCGGGCTTATTAAAATAAAATATAGTAATATTTTTTAAAAAAAAAGGTAAAGGATAAATTATTTAAAATATAAATTTCTTCAATTTCTTTATGTTTGTAAAGATATAATAAAATATACTTTTTATGTAAAAACTTGTTTATTTCTAGACGTATACAAATAATTTTATTATGATCAAATTGACATTTTAGTAGAAGTATAGAAGTGAAGACACTGCAAAAAAAATTTTTTTTGGAATTAATGGTTAAAATCTATTTTTAATCGAAGTCAATTCTATTCGTCAAAAAAAATAAATAAAATCTTTTTATGGATCCAGTCTAAGGATTTTAGAACCATCAAAATCATTCCTACAAAAAACTGACTGCGCAAATGATCTGATCTGGAGAGAAAGAATTTTGGAACAATCATGCTCGAAGCGATCCTGATCGAAGACTTTTATCATTTTTAAGCTAAAGTAGTAGATTAGGTTAGGATAATATTTTAATTCAAAAGTTCTTTTTCATGTAAGCAATAAATTAAAGTTATAAGTTGAACCTTCATTCGTATATAAGCATAACGATACATAAAGCATAAAGCATAAAAGCATATATATAAGAAAGTCTCTATGATACAAAAAGATATTATTTTCTTATCTTACTTTGCACACCAATAATATCGCGTAGGAAATAAAATTTAAAACATCTAACCAATTTATGGAGACATCTAATAAAACAATTAGTATCGTTACTAAATCAACTTACAGTACGCGAAAAAAGTTTTCGGAATAATAACAATTCAGTATAGAAAACTTTTAATAATTCGCGAAGTATTGCAATATATGATCAGCAACAAAATTTTATATGGTCACGCAGCTTATGTTTTTATATAAGAATGGCAGGTTTGGAATTGTAAATATAAACTTATATACCGTTCATATGAAAACTATAAATCTAATACCGAAGAATGGTGTCCGAGGTTGAACGGCCATCAAAAAATCCGCACCTCAATCCAATTGAAAATTTATAGGCAATTTTAAGAGGCGTGTAGAGAAACAGGTTATATATTGTTGGTAAAAAATTCAATCACTATAGATGTTTTCTTGATATAATCAAAAAGAGTAGGAGGTAATTAAACCCAAAATATTTATTAATTTAATTAGTAGTATATCAGTATGTCAGAACAAGCAATTGAGGGTAATGGTAATAAGATAAGCTATTAATTAAGCTTAAACAACTTTTTTTCTATAATAAAAAGAATATATATTTTAAATTTTATGCAATTTCTATTTATTTTCAGAGTATAATAAATTAAGATGTGATTCTGAAAACTTTTTTCGCGCACTGTAATTAATTATTTTTTTTTAGATAGTTTACATATGGAATTTATGGTAATGGTATTGTCTTCAATTATTCGTTGAATTATTATATTTTGTCTATCTTTGTTTTACAACCAAATTAAACTTAATATTAAATAATTAAATATTTATTCTTTAAATAATCTTTACAATTATTCTTATAATGCTGCTGCTGAAAAAGAGATATTGCATTTAAAAAGTTGGTTTATCAGAAAGTTGACAAACTTATTTTTTATTTTTGCTAATTTGGTAATCACAACTAATGATTATAAATCTTTGTATTAATTT